TAAAATAGGGGAATAGAATATATTTTGCGACAAAGAAAGACAGTATCGATAATTCAGAAATTATTTAATCACACATTGTCGACGAGGAATACGGAAATAGTGAAATAAATACCCCAGTGCTTTTCATTTTTTTATTTGCACTACGTCGTCTATTGAGGTCGGGAGCAGAATCAGCCTATCAGTAGCGGAAATCGTAAATTTAGTGAGACCCTGATCCAGACTTCCAGAGGGCTGTGATTTTTTAGGAGACAATCATAGGACATAGCCTATTAGCCTTCTGAAATATATTTACACGTCACTATTTTTAAAATAGTTTTTTGTTGTTTGTTTGTTTTACATGGTGTTTTTGTTTTTGTTTTGAAAAAACACAAATTTTGTATTTATTTTGATTGTTGGGGGCTCGAAGTCAGAAGAGGGCTCGGGGCGCCTGCCAGGACCCAGCCTGCCATTGAAAGTATTCATTTTCACTTTGAGTGGCTGGGTCTGAGCCTGGCTCTGAGGCCTGGCCGCCTGGCCCGCCTGGCCTGGTGACTGGGCCTCTGGGCCTCTGAGGCCCTCTCCTCCACTAACAGGGCCCTGGGGCCTAGGTTGGGACCAGAAACGGGATCCTTCTGACCAGACCTGGACTACTGCTGGTAAAAAAAGTCCTTTCTTTTGGGGTATTTATATTCATATTTTGAAATATATAAAAAATACAATTTTAATATATTGTTTTTGCCTATTTTATTCACAGCTTTCATTGACATTGTACAATTTATTTTTTGTCTAAAATAAACAGTCTGCTACGGCTGCGGCGATACGGCTGCGTAGATCTCAGGCGTTTGTTTTTATATAAGAGAGCAAAGTAAACAAAAAGTTTTTTATGCTGTCCAGTGTCCACTGTCCGCTGTCCACTAGACCACCACTCGATAGACTGCAGCATCAATTTACCAGTCACCACCAGACACCAGTGACCACTACTATTATTCACTTATTGTAATAATTGCCGCCTTTCCAGCGCTGTGACAGCCTTTAAAGCTATTTTGAGAGAGTTTAATTCGTCCGTTCTATGAAGACCATTTATAATGAATCTTAATTTTGTTTGTTTTTTAGATATCCGAATCCCATCACAGTTTTCAGAAGAAGAATGCCTCAATTTTAGGAGGCTTGAAAAAAGGTTTATCGCATGTTCTATAATGATAATTCAAGCATATAGCCTTCTTAAATGTTTTTGTTATTTGTTTTGTTTTGAAAAAACTCAAA